CTATTTTTAGTAAAATCAAAATTTGTATAACCCTTCAGAATTACCCCCTCTTTATCCATTTTAAACATCAAACACAAGCTAGATGAACCCTTTAAATATCTCATTAACCATTTCAATGCTTCCCAATGAATTTCACAAGGATTTCCCATAAATCTACTCAAAACACTAATACTATATGCCAAATCAGGTTTGGTGTAAATAATTAAGTACATGACTGAACTAATAGCATTAGCATAAGGTATTTTAGACATTCTTTTATGTTCATCTTCAGTTTAGGGATAGGAATCAGATGTTAATGTAAAGTGATTAGGAAGGGTAAAGTCACAGATTTACAATCAAACATATTGAACCTCTTTGAGACCTTATTCACAAAATTTTGTTGACATAAAAGACAGTAGTATGATTGTTTGTTTCTTATGATTTGCATCCCCTGCGTTTTCTTAGCGAGACCAAGATCCTTTATTTCAAATTCTGATTTTAATTTTCGTTTGATATCATCAATTTCAAATTTATTAGCACTAGTTAGAAGCATATCATCAACATAAAGTACAAGATACAAAGTATCTTTACCTCGACTTCCTTTGCAATAAAGACATGTATTATAATTGCTTATACTAAATCCAAGCTTCAAGACAAATGAATCAAATCTTTTATACCATTGTCTTAGAGCTTGTTTTAGGCCATACAAAGATTTTTTCAACAAACACACAGTTTTTTTTTTAATCCAATACCCCACAAAGGAATGCAACTTTTACATCTAGTTGATCAAGATTCCATTTAAATTGCACAACTAAAGCAAGAACACATCTTATAGTTCTATATTTCACTACGGGGGAAAAAATCTCATCATATTCTGCACCCTCTTGTTGTGTAAAACACTTGGCAACAAGTCTAGCTTTGTATCTAACCTTATTAGTGTCCCCTTCCCCTTCCTTTAGTTTATAAATCCACTTTCAATCAACTAGCTTTTGATCGTTAGGTTTATCTACCAATTCCCAAGATTTATTTTTGTATAGGGAAGACATTTGTTCTTCCATTGTAGCCAACCACTTTTTACAATCTTAAGACTTTAAAGTTTCATGATAGAAACTAGGTTCAGAATTAGTTTCTTCTTGGTCAGTGAATAAAGACACAAAGCCATCACTATTTCTAATTTGCCTCCTATCCATGTCTCTAGTGAGCTGGTACTCATCTAGCGATGTATCTAAGTTATCACATTGATCAGGTTCTACCAAATCAAGCTCATTTTCATTCGGTCAACCTTAATAATTGCTACTTCTAAGGGGATATAATTGGTATTATCAATTTTAACAGGCTCCACCTCAATTTAGACATCATTTTCATTCAAATTTCCCGTTTTTCCTTCCAAACATGGCATATATGATTCATTAAAGACCACATCCCTTCTTATGATAATCCTATAACATTTTTCCCCATAGATCCACAGCCTATACCCTTTAACATTCTCAGCATAGCCCAAAAACACACACTTGAGAGATCTAGGTTCAAATTTCCCTATGTTTTGATGAGCATATGCAACACAATCAAATGTTTTCAAATAAAAATAAATCACAAGCTTTTGTGTCCACGCAAATTTAGGTACATCAAAGTTTAAAGCACTTGTAGGACTTCTATTAATCAAATATGCAACAATCTTAACAGCCTCACCCCAAAATAATTTGGACAAACCTAAACTTAAAAGCATGCATCTAACTTTATTCAATAAAGTCTTATTCATTCTTTTTGCAATGTCATTTTGTTAGGGATGTAGGTAATAGTTTTATGTATTAAAATGCCATGTAATTTAAAAAAAAATCATTAAACTCATAATTGCAAAATTCTAGGCCATTGTCTGTTCTTAAAGTCTTAATTTTCCAATTAGTTTGATTTTTCAATTTCGGTTTTCTAATCTTTAAAAGTAGTGAATGTTTCATCTTTGGTTTTTAATAGAAAGACCCAAATTTTCCTTGAAAAATCATCAACTATCAAAAGTTAGTATTTATGACTGGACAATGTAGGGGTGGATGCAGGACCCCACAAATCAGTATGTAAGTACACTAGAATTTGCTTTGATTTATGAGTACCAGTGAGAAAAGGTAACTTAACTTGTTTTCCAATCAAACACTGTTCACAATTAGACAATTTACCAATATTTCATTTTCCAAAAGCACCTTTATTTTGAAGAGCCTTTAAACTTTTCAACCCAATGTAACCAATTCTACAATGCCATAGTTTTGCAAGATTAAATGCATTATCTAAATCTACTGCTAATAGACCCAATAAAGGTTTTGCGTTTAGAAAGTATAAACCACGTCTCTTCAGGATAGAAGTGATTAAATCACTACTTCTAAAGATTTTTATGTGTCATTGACCCAATTTTATATCAAACTCCATGCATCCAACATTCCTAAAGATACAAGGTTTCTTTCTAATTCACGAAGAAATCTAACAACCTTTAAAACTTTTTTTTTTTTTTGCCATTTTCCAAAAGCAATTTTATTGTTCCAATACCTTTTACTTTTACAGGTCATGTTATTTTCCATGATAACTTGGCCCCCTTTAGTTTGTTCAAAGTCCAATTTTTATTTATTATTATTATTTTGTTAGAGCACATGTGGAAAGAGCAACGTAAGTCTAGATTCTTGACTTAGATTTCTTTCAACATTTACAAGAATCATGCCATTATCCATAAGTTGCTTATCATAGGACATAACAGTATTGCCTTTACATAACTTCTTTCCTTTCAAATCATTTTGATTTTTTATAAAAATCTTAGCAAAATGACCTAGTTTACTGCAATAATAACATTTCTTTCCGTTTGCCTTAGTTTTGAATTTCATTTTATCATTGTTCATTTTCTTAGGGTCATTTAGAAATTTTGAATGAAAATTATATTTATCAATATTTTTGCCTTTTAACAAAAGATTTTCTCCACTTTGATGGTTGATAGAATCTGATTTTAATTCAAGAACCCTATTTTTTAAGGCATTTATGATGATATTTGTGGTAAGCTTATCTCTTCCATATTCTAAGGCATTTTTGAGATCTCTATGCCTATCACTAAAGGAGTTTCACAAAACCACTGCCAGTTAATCTTCTATACACCCGATTTAATTTTTCATAATTTTTCAGCAGATTTAATTTCTCCTATACACCCGATCACATTGTCTAAAATGCACAAGAAAATAGTACTTCAAGCTATTTCTTCTAACTTAGTTCTTTTAGCAATAGACATTTCAGTAAGCCAAGAATTATCTAAAGCTTTAGCACATTTCAATTGCATCAACTAGCCCTCATTTTTTGGCTCTACATATTAAAGTCCCCTCTTCCATCATACATGTTCACTTCAAACTTAGCAGTAGCCATGTCAAGATACACCAAGATAATATGTAGTGCACAAGTTTAATTTCAAGAACACACAAGGACATACAATGTGGGGACTGCAGGCATATTAGGGGCCAATTAGCAATGCACTTATACAATTTTCTCTAGACAGTAAATACTTAACACCTAGTATAAGAGACAAAATCACAAAGAGCAAAGATATCAATTCCAATGCCTCAACTGACTTCTCTAGCAAGGTCTTCCAATTGCACTCCTCACAGTGTTGTTATCTCAGATCCCCAAGACTTCAAGAGTCTTTCGACAAAGACCAAGCATTGGAGGTTTCGTAGTACAAAGTAAATCAAGGGAAAAATGAGGATACTCTACTGTAAAGAGTTACTAATTATAGAATGCAGAAAAAATCAAACCAAAGGAGTTTGAAAGTACTTAAATTCCACAAAGCAATGTTTACTGTAGATTGAAGCAGGATTCCATTTTAATCAAGAAATCACAAAGCTCTAGTAGTCCAGGTTGTTCTGATACCACTGAAAAGTCGAGCACCATTCAAGAATTAACCAAGATACACAAAACCGTTCATAAACAATAAAGTGTAAAAATATAAATTTTCGGTCATTGCCCCAGAGGTTTGATGACCACATCTAACACTTAATCCCCCGTTGAGCATCCATTATAAATGGATTTAGTTTGGTTGCACTAAAATAGCCAAAAATCAACAAGAAGAATACAAGATAGTTCTAGAAAAGTACAAGAACAAGGTCACTAAGACTTATCTTAGCAAGATCCACGCAGGAAACTTCGAATCCACGAAGGAATCAACTTAGACCCCTAAGATCTCCAGTAAACCTATCCCGCTCTCAGAAGAATCACTCAGATTCTCACAAACTAACACACAGTAATACACCAGTCCAAAAATCTAAAGTATTACAAAGGGTTTTCACTAGTTTATATGTTGAAACACTCAAGAAAATCGAACCCTAATCACAAAGATGAAAGAGTTCTTCATAGAGCAAGAGAGCACAAAGAGACCAACTCAAAACCAAGAAAATATCTCTCCAAAATTGCCAGACAAGCGGTCACTGGAGGCTTAAATAGCTGGATGCATCTAGAAGCAGATCAAACGGCCAGAATGGCCCCACGTGTCAAGATCCAGTAGAAAGTCTCCACTAATAAAAGTGTCGGTCCAGAAACACGCCTTTAATATAATTTTAGAAGCATGACTTATATAATCAATAGGTCATAGGTTCGAGACTTAACATCTTGGTTAAGTTTCCAGCGTTTGCAATGTGAATTCCTAAATTTAGATTCCCAATTTCAAATAAACTCTTAATTTTAGAGTGAGGTAAATGATAAGAGGTTGCATGAGTAACATAGAGGTTAAATGTGATATTGATTGGATGAGCAACATTAGGCTGTTCGTTGGAAAATGGAAACTATTGCAAAACTAATTCAAGATCAAACCTACTCCGATACCATGTGAAAATATTATATATTGTATATAACAAACTTGTGTTACTATTACAAATTGGAAGATTCTATTTATAGTGTTAAAAGTAATTTTAAAAGGAAAGATTGCGTGATAATCACAAATTAACCTATTAAGAAAAATAATCTCACAACTGAGAAGAATAATCTTTCATATCTTCAACATTGCTCAGGAAAATAATAGCTATGACATGCTCAGCAAGATGCTTGTGGATAAGACCCATGAGTCAAGGTAAATTTAAACATAGCTGTAAATTTTAGATTTATTATTATGCGTATTCAAGTGCATTGCATAGTTGAGACAAGGAATTGACATTGATGAGTTGATCAAACTAGGGAAAATGGGTCAAGGAGGATTAAACCGTGTTGTGGAAACAAAGGTATTAGTACATGTAATTTCGTGTTTCTAGTGCTACCCATTGAGATTTTTTGTGCTAATATATCTTCTCTCAATATGGAAGAATGACAGTTTTTGAAACAGATCAGTATGGTCATGATAAATGCAAGACCTCGAACTTTATCCTTCGATGAAAAAAATAATCAGGCTCCTTGTTAAGAGATAAATCCTGAAAAAGGATGAAATCAACATCTAAGGGCTTGAGCTAATTAGTTAACTTTTCTGACATGCAGGGATCGAAATTAATGTAAGGAATGCCAAGTTGAAACAGCAAGCAGAAGTGAGAGGTGATATTTTATTTTCCAATTTATAAATCATTTCTCGCACTGCATGCACTGGAATTCAGTCGTAAATTCTTGCGTTCTCAAGGTCGTTGAGTGAACTGTTTATGCAGAAATCTGAATGCACTGGACATGGTATTGAGCCAAGAAATTCATCCAAGTTTATCACCGATTCTCATGGCTCTGATAGTACCGATGTCATTCACCTGAATTTACATATGGTAATGTTCATCTATTACCAAAATCAAGTCATTTATAGATATTATTAGGAGGGCGTGCACATGCAGTCTAGTCTCACTTTCGCTCGACAAGGATCAAGATCAAATAAATGCGCATTCGCGTTCTGTCAAGTGAAGGTATACTTCTAATATCTTAGAAACGAATGATTCGGAGAGACAAAAACTCTTTAGTTCGTACTTTTATGGTAAAAAAAAAAAAATAGATAGGATTTCTGATTATTCAGACGTTAACCGAAATGGTCATTAGATTCATCTAACCTAATTCAAAGTTACACTGAAAAGCATGGTAGTAGTAGGGTGTAGTCTCATATCTTTTTGACTGTATGCTTATGTTAATTTTGGCAACTTACCTTTCTCCTACTGAGATTGTCTATTTTTCTTAATAGGATATATTATAAATTATTGTGTAAGTGAGTTGAGTGTTAAGGGCCAATTAATGTTGTGGATTTATGTGACTTCTGACATTTGCTTTCCGTTTTGAATTTGCTTGTGCTACTAAAATCATGCTATTGATATCATACGTATCCAAGGAAATTATATGAGGTACATAAAAGTAGAACTTTTTTTAATTAACATGAAATTGAAGAGGATAATGTTCTGGTTTTTGAGCAGGGGTGAACTAAAATTTTAGTACGTTCAGTTGGGTGATTTTAAAAAAAATAAGAAATAAAAAAAAACTTAGGCTGATTATTCTAGGAGGGGATTTTGTATTATTTTATTTAAGATAAAGTAGGTTCAAATATTACAATTCAGTTGAATTTAATATAAGTTTATAACTGTTAAAATAATTAATAAAATCAAATTAATTATATGGTGTAATTAGTAATGTACAAATAAAATAAGTTAATTATACAGTTTAAAGTATCATTGATAGAATTTTATCCAGTGGTGTGGGCCTAGTTTTAAGGGTCAACAAAACCAACGTCCTGTAAAGGTAATTTCAGTAAACCTACTCCTCTAGCTCGGGGACAACTTTGAAAATGGTTAGTAGATTCTTCTTATTTTTCACAATAGCCTTTCTTATCAAAAGTACTATATTGCCCTTAATGAAATTATTTGCAAGATTTATCTTATATTTTTAAGGAATTGTCAATCAGGTCCTATATCTATATTTTTCAATCTTTTGAACACCTTTAAATATTCTTTATATTTTAATAATTCTTCAAAGATTATAGGTTGACCTTTCTTAGTTATATATCCATTAAATAATCCTACTGAAATTTCTTCTTGGATATCCGTATGTTTAGTTATAATATCTTCTACTTTCCTTATTTCTTTATGAGTTCTTACAGGATCAAAACCTATATTATTCTTACAACTATAATCTATATCTCTATATATTTCTTCAATCTTTTCTTTACCAATAGGGAATATAACATCAGATTTTATATCTAATTTAAGCAGGAAAGAAACATCTTCTTCATCTAAAAATAAAATGAGATTATTATCATTATTAACAATAGAAGTGGATGCTTGTGAATTGTTCATTAAAGATAATTAAAGCATAAGCATGTAAAAATAAGTAAATAACTTACAGTAATCAAGTGGAATAAACAGGTTTTCCCTCCAGTATGCTCTTATAGATGCTTTGCATGTACTTAATCAGTGTACAGTGAAAATGGCGAGAAAGAAGATTCAGATCAAGAAGATTGATAACTTGACGGCACACCAACTCCAAGTGACATTATTGAAGAGAAGAGGGGTTTTCAAGAAGGCTCAAGAACCCTCTACTCTTTGTGATGCTGAGATTGCCCTAATTATTTTTTCTGCACTAGAAAAGTCTTCCATTGTTCTTGCTCAAGGTTTTCTAATTTCCTCTCCTCTCTCTTGAACACATACATATCATGCTACTGGGGTCGAAGCTTTGATGCTTTTGGCCAACACATACATATCACTTAGCTAGTTTTGTATTGAAAACTAAAGATTTTAATGGGATAAAACCACAGAAAACTTATATTGAAGAGGTACGAATTAAATGGGCAGTAATGGAAATTACGAGGTAGAGAATTGTAGCTCGGATATGGATGCAAATAATCTTCAAGTGTGATAAAGAATCGAACAAAACTAGGGGCAAATGGTGTTTGTAAACTAGCCTTTGGTGATGATGTGAATACTAGGATGGCACAAAATTATAATTATTCTAGTATGTCACGGTGTTTTCAACAAATATTTTGATCATTAATTATTACGAGTCACATGGATAAACTCCAACACAAAATTAGCACAAATCACGTTCATTGCACAAAATAAAGCAAACTTTCTCCATGTACAGTTTAATTTCCTTAGATGATTTAGTTACCATGTATAACTCAAGTTTCAATGTTCAAATATGTACAAAATCCTTGTAAATCATACACTAGTGAATAATGAAATACTGCATTCCCTGTGCATTTCTTTGTATCAATTTTAATATGGCATTAGTAATACATGTTCACTACGGCCTGTTCTAGCTTCCGAAAAAACCAAACCCGACCTCCACCGTGTCTGATTCCACATCTTCCACACCTTCACAATTGATCAATGACCTCGCCTCCCCATATTTCTTAAGCCCTTCTGATAATCTGGTGCTGTGCTAGTTCCCGATCTCCTTACTGGACAACTATGCTGCCTGGAAACACTTGGATTGCTGCCCTCTGGGACCGTTGCAGTGATATGGTCATCTCTTGGCTCTTCAACTCCATTGATAAGCCCTTACGACATTGCTTAATTTACTGTTCTCAACCCTATGCTGTTTGGCTCAATTTGGACAATCGATTTTCTCAAAGCTATCACCCGCATCTATATTGCTTCCAACGTGATTTGGTTAATCTCAAATAGAACACCATGTCTATTACACTGTATTACAATACTATCAAAGGATTGTGGGATGAACTCCCCCCGCTTACCAATCCTAGATCCTGTAAATATGGTGCTCATAAAAAGGCAGAAGAGACAGTCAACTCCGAAATGCTCTTTCAACTTCTCATGGGCCTTAATGATTCCTTCTTCAACATCCGTTGCCAAATCCTCTCTATGGATCCTCTTCCCATTATTGCCAGATCTTTTGCCACTATACATCAAGAAGAAACGTAACGCCTCCCGCAAATGCCTTTACTGCCCACTCTCGACATTTGTCATGGATATTGCTAGTGCTCATTCTCCGACCACTCATGGCTTCCGTCTTTGCAATGGTAAGAAGTGCACCAAATGCAGGAAAGACTGTCTTGGTCATTAGAACACCAATAAATCCAATTAGCCTCTACACTCACATATCTCGGCCAGTACCCAGTCACCCGCAGCGAATATGGTATCTGCCACTCAAGCTTCTCCCATCTCGACTGTAATCCCTGGCATCTCTAATGAGCGCTGCCAACAATTGATGGAACTCCATGCCAACGCCTTCTCCACTTTCTTTGGTATTCACTTCTGTGTCTCATTCTGATGTACAGCAGAGGATCCAGTATCCAGCCGGCACGGCCGCTTGTGCTGACTCTCTCAGGATTTACAGGTTAGTAAACCGCTCGTCGCTCGAGCCGCCGGTGAGCGATTTGCCCAATTTTATTTATTTATTTATTTTTTAAATAATGGGCCTTTAGTTTTAGGCCATTTTTTTTAGGATTTTAAACATTTGTCTGGTCTGTATGACTATACGTATATAACTGTTACCCCAATTGAATTCCAAATGCAAAACACGGCAATTGCAAAGCAAACCCTATCTCTTGTATCTCCTCCCTACAGTCCCGCCTTAGCCAACTGTGGTCCAACCGTGATTGTCAACCTTTAGTGACTGTGAGCCTCCGTCGAACCCTCCGTTGAACCGCCACTGTTTGCCGCTGGCGTCTGTGACACGGTGACTGTGAGTCTGTGAGCTCTCTTATATATGAACTGTAATGAATGATGATTTATAATTTATGAACATTGGAGAATTTGTGAATTTGTGATAAATGATAATTTGGTGTTGAAAATTGGAAATTTAAAATTGATCGTAGTTTAAAATTAAGTTTAATTTATATTTAATCGGTGATTTATGCTTAATTTTTGTACAAATTATAGAAAGATTTTTTCAACCGAAATGAAAGTCCCAACCTAGTTCTTCTAGCACAATTACATTTTAGTGTATTTATATATTGATTGAAATATTTTTAATATTATTTAATTAAATATAAATGAACAACCTTAATTGATAGTCACCGATCGTCTTAGCTCAACAACAATCCTAGATTTGTCACCGTCGATATACAATGGGTTATTGACACTAGGGCTTTTTCCCATATTTCTTGTATTTCCAACTTGCCCAGAGACACATCTCCTCATTCTCAATCACTTGCCCACAGGTGCCATAGACTAGGTTACTCATACAGAACAAGTTCTCCTTTTTCCTTGTTTATCGTTTCTAATGTGCTTTTTGTTTCTGGCTTCAATACAATTTAATTTATGCAAGCCAACTTACTAGAATGTCCAATTATGTCGTCAATTTTTCTCCCTCCTTTTGACTTTTCGAGGACCAACAAGTGTGGAAGCTAATTGGATTGGGTGAAGAATGTGGAGGCCTCAATAAACTCAAGCCTTTTTCTCTTTAAATCAGTTGCAACCCTACTCCAACTCCCGATCTATGGCATCTCCGCTTATGGCATCCTTCAAATTCTTACATTCCAAAATCTGTGTACATTGAATAACATTAAACATTATGATATTTGAATCTCAGGCAAACATATACGCGTTCCTTTTAAATTGATTGAGAATAAAAGTACTTTTATTTTTAATCGTATTTATTGAGATATTTGGCGTGGATATTCTATGCCCTCTACAATTGGTGCACATTCCATTGTTATAATTGTGGATTTCTCAAGTTTTATTTGGGTTTATCTCGTACATTTGGGTTTACCTCTTACTGCCTTTATTAAAATGGGGCACATACAATTTAATTGTTTTATCTAAAATGTTCGCTGAGATAATGGTCGAGAATTCCTTTACATGAAATTTTTTTCTTGATCATTGCATCCTTCATGAGCGTACTTATGTTAAGACATCACAGAGAAATAGTGAATTGAATGAAAGCATTCTCATCTATTATTATGGGTTGATGTTTTCGTTTTCATGTACATTTATCTATTTTCTTTTGGAATAAATGCATACTTACTGCTACTTATTTAATTAATTGTTTACCATTCCCCTCTCTCAATTACAAAACCCCTTCTGACCTTCTTTTCTGGAAAACCCTACTTGTAATCACGTTCATATTTTTTGATATTTTTGCTATGTGCACACTTAAATGTTCACAGAGACAAATTTTCCTCTCATTCTGCATTATGCATATTCCTAGGCTTTTCAAACCCCACACAATTACAGTGTTTACCCTTACTACTAGATGATGACCTTCTTGGCAATTCACCTGAACTTATTATATTCCTACCCCACTATCAAGACCTTGTCGCACTGTCAATTGTCCCACATATCTTTAGGATTATATTTGCTTAAACTTACCTTTGGAGGACTCACATTCACCACCTTGTCCAGAGCCCTTCTCA